ATATATATATATACATATATATATATATATATATATATGTATATATATACATACATATGGGCCTATATGTCAAGTAGGAATCAATCAATCAATGGATTTATAAGAATACAGTATTTGAGTTAAAACATAATTAAATGACCTCTTAAAAAAGGTTCGGTGCTTTTGTCCGGAATGTCCACATCCATCTGCTAAGCTGCCGTACAACTAAAAATGCTTAAATAAATCATTCTTTAAAGGTGACAATAGCCTTCTATGCATGCTGCCCCACAATTGAATAAAACCCAAACTGACTGGTTTTAAAAATGAAAAACAGTTAAGATTATATATTTTTCACTAACACTGCAACAGGTTGTGACGCGCATGTTAGTAATAGTATATAGACAATAATTCACATTATTCAAAACTTGTATTTATTATTCATTCATGTTAATTAGTTAAGACCTATTTTTACGATAATTATTAATAACGAAGTAATGACCTTATCAAACAAATATCTGTTTCTGCCTTTTGAAGAGACAATAACGAAATTGAATTCATGAATTCTTAACCAGCGTTTTGTATATAATCATAAATCCATTCATCTACAGTGTTTTGCTATTTACTGGTAGAAGAAAGACAGCTTTTATTTTTCATACGCCTATTAGCCGTTGCCATGGTGATTGTAGCAAACCAGTAGCCAGCTAATGAGGTTTGACTTTTATCTCAGCTCTATGATTTGCCTGATTGGATGCGGATTTCGAATACAATTGGGGTAAGTGCTTTATATTTTCTATACGCCATTTGCTTCATCGTAGGAAGTGTATTCTTAAAACAACATGCGTTTAAAAAAGATCCCATCCAATCTAGTCGTTTATAAAGCGCATTTCTTTACAGATATCAAGCACTGAAAGATCTGCTATTACAGATATTTATCATCTGATTGATTAACAATCGTTAAATTGAACTCATACCAGTGTCATGGAAACCTTCAATCTTATCGTTAACTATTGGGAAGCTGAAAATTTAGTCCGAAATATAATAACCTTCTTTCATGTTTGTTGAATTGACGTATCCCCATCTCTCAGACTGAGGAATACATTCACACGAACATACACCTTACCGGTATGAGCTTCACGATTATAAGTAAATAATAATAATAATAATAGTAATAATAGTAATAATAATACTAATAATAATAATAATAATAATAATAATAATAATAATAATAATAATAATAATAATGACTAACATTATTAAAAATAATGATACAAATGATTAATTATGATATTATATATTTTAATTACTAATAGATAAAAATATAATCATTAAAGGTTTGCAATGTGAGTAAATATTATCAATAACTAAACTTCGATCAACATGTGTTCAAATATTGCGAAAAGGTATTGTTTTTTTTTAAATATATTATCCCGACGTTTAAGCAAAATTGCTCCGATCATAATCAGGAGATTTGTTAATAAAGAAGACCTTGAATACAGCATTTTAACGGACAGTTGTTGAATTCAACAACTGGGGTTGTTAAGTTAAGAAGAATAATAAAAACAATAAATCAATCATTTGTCTTATAATATAAAATTTCTTTTTATAAATTTGCTAAAAAGATTCGTTTGTTTTTCATCCCTATACAAATTTATGTCTGATATTTGAACAAAAAGTGTAATATGATTTTACTGTATTCTTAAACATTGTGTATATTTACATTGAGTATGTAAATACCAGAATAAATAAATATTTTAACAGGAAAAATATTGTTTGAAAATCTACCAATACATACGTAGGATAGCTATGTTGCCATATTAATCTGATTACATATTTTTCGAAAGCATTAGGATTAATGTTAAGTACATTAGCACGACCATGGAAAGTATTCTCTAATATGACATACTATTGTTCAATTTGATAGGAACTACTGTATTATTTTCAAGATCGTGTCTTCATCACCTATTGCACATGGGAATTAATAGACAGTCTATCGAGGTCGATCTGTGTAGGCCTGCCTTATTAATTGATAGATAAATGAGATGCTACTGTTGTTTGTTGTTGTTGATGATGATGATGATGATGAAGATGATGATGAAGATGATGATGATGTTGATGAGGATGATGATGATGATGATGATGATGATGATGTTGATGATGATGATGATGTTGATGATGATGATGATGATGATGATGAAGATGATGATGAAGATGATGATGATGTTGATGAGGATGATGATGATGATGATGATGATGATGAGGATGATGATGATGATGATGATGATGATGAGGATGAGGATGATGTTGATGAGGATGACGTTGATGATGATGATGATGATGATGGTGATGACGATAAGAGTAGTGTAACCAATGAGGAGGACGACGAGGATGATGATAATATAGTGTGAGGACACTGGCGATATATGATGATGATAATACAGTAATATTGTGATAGGATGTTAGTGATGGTGATAACGATGATAGTGTGATCATGAGGGTGATGGTGTCGACAATGTTGATCATAGTTTTATTCTTTGTGAAATAAAAAGCATACGGCAATAAATATAATTAAGAGATAGGCCTGCTTGCGTTTGACAACACATACGATTGTGCCTGAGTAACTCATAAGATCACATGTTAATATATTTGTATTTGAGGAGAGAGGATCAGCCAGGATAATGGCATTGGTTTCGGGGCTTTTTCTTTCCATAGAGTGAAATTATTGATTGTCAATGTCACTGTCGTATCCATGCCAACATCATTTAAACAATAGTCTACACATATCACGATCAAATGAAACAACTGATGAGTTTCCATGCAACTGAATAATGCATTACATAATTCAAAATAGATCAAAAGGCCGAGAGAATATCATTTTGTATTATAATACAAATGAATAATGCAAATAAATACTGTATAAGTCTAAATGACTTGTATTTGTATATATAAGTAGTTGTAGAAACAAGTAGCAGTAGCAATACAAGTTAGTTTACATACTTTACAAATGCAAAACATATTTACAGTATTTATTCGAATAAATATCCAGGGGCGTTTATTGTTGAAAAGAGATTTTGAGGGGGCGTTTATTCGGGGGAGGCGTATATTTTCATTCTTTTTGGTAAAATTGATAAGTATAAATGCCCCTTTATTTCACTGTAAATGTGAAACTAACAGCACATAATAGACCTTTCCGCTAAGCTCCGCCCCTTGGATTTTGTTGCTAAGGTCCCACAAGACGGCAGTGTTAAAACATACGCGAACACGTGCGTTTGTGGGACAACACGTGTGTTTGTGAGACGCGCGCGTATTTCTAGCGTTGTTCCGATTAGTCAGTTGTTAAGTTTGATTGACACTCCGGAAAGGTCTATTACCTTTATAATGTGTTATTGCGTAATCATAAAAACTTATGTAATTCTAATGGAGTAGAACATTAATAGAATGTGTTGAGAATGATGTTGCTTCCATTAGATTTGTTTACAGTCATTAAGGGGAATTTATTCGGGGAAGAAAATAAACGTCTCATAGTGTTTATTCGAGGGAGGCGTTTATTACAAATGAGGATCTGGAAGGGGTGGGGTTATTCAAGGGGGAAGTTTATTCAAAACAAGGCGTTTTTTGGAAATAAATACGATAGTTATTTTTGGTGGTTACATCTTACAAGCCGAACTATGGCTTTGTATTTGCTCATCATTCAATTAGTCCAAGCTGACTACAGCGGAAGTTGCAATTTTACTAGTTTTTGTTTACCAAATTATTGTTAACAAATTTTTAATGAACCACATCCATGGCCCAACTTTGACAGTGATATTTTTTTGATTGATTGGGCTCTATTTTATTTCTATGCTATGTGGACAAACTGTTAAAATTGAGTTGGTTTCTTTTTTTTCGTTCTATACTCTTTTATATAAACAATACAGTAATGATAAATGGTCACAATATTTTGCGGGGAATTCCCCAGAACCCTAGGACAGTGTTGTCTCTCGATTGGCCCTCTTTCGGACATCTCTCAATCCACCCATGAATACTATTTTAGTATTTGGAAAGAAGCATTCACAAACATCAACAAATCAAACGGCATTAAAGATGGAATACATAAATTTTATTATGATTTCATTGTCTTTATTTTTACAAAAAAAGCTTTGTGCCTCATGCAAAAGTCAGTACTGTACTGCAATAATAAATAATATCTGTCTACTACAGAAATGGACGAATTTTATATATATATCATAAAAATGTACTAAATGTGTAAATAATGTCATCCATATGTCTTTATTGTAAATAGTGAGTTAAAATGAATGAATGGAGAAATAAAAGTGAAACAATCCTACAAAAGACCACCAAAAAAAAATCTATCTACTATTACTCTTTCATTCTACTTAAATATGACCTAATTCTCCAGCATGTTTATGATATTAATTTAAATTTATTCCGTCTTCTTTTCTTCAGACTTCTTATTTTTCGGGTCACCAGCAATAATGCGGCAACATTCTATGATTAATGCCAAAGCCATGAAGGCCATTAACAACAACGCCCCAGCGCAGATGTACAGGGTTGCTTTATCTTTATCGGATGAAAATTCCTGTGTTGAAAAAAGAAAAAAAAAATATTAATAAATGCCAAGGACTCAAATTTTTTAATAGAATATACTGATGAAAATAAACCTAACAAAATTTGAATTAAAAATATATGAAGCATTAGGAACAAATGACAAGCTATGTATGGAGGTAGTAGCACATGGAGCCCTCAAATAACCTGAATTATTCCTATGAAACCTATCATACAGTGAGTGGTTTTTATCTTCCATGATAACTATTATGATAAACTATCTTCTACATGGGAAGAAATGTCTTTTTTTAATGGTGCCCAAGCAAGTTTGCTATGGTGTTGGCGAACACAAATGAAGACGAGACCTAGGCTAGCCTAGAAAGGCCTATGGTAACTTATAAAGCAATTATTAGGAGCCGTTATCTCCTATAAAACTTGCCTGCATTTTTTACCTACCTTAAGAATATGAGCAAGTCTCTCCACAAGACTATCACTGTTATAAAAACAATTGAAATATATTATCAATATACCTTGTATTCAATACATGACAAACTGTCATTCAGTAACATATTTAGATTAAAATCATCAATATATAATGATAATTAATTTAGGCTCGTAACTGGAATTCGGAGCTCGAAAGTTACAGCGAAGCCTATGTGGCCTAGGGCAGTCGAGACAAAGATAATTTTTTGGGCTTAGTGAACTGGTAAGTATTCTGCCAACATGCAAATGGTGAATTTCATCATTATTTTGATGGTTTGGATAGGTGGTTTGCCTTATTAGGGGGAGTTAGTTTGAGAAGGGGATTTTAGCTGACTATTAAACCCCTCCCCCCCACATGCTTGCAATTAAAAAAACTTACAATGGGGATTGCTGTATGCTAACGGGTGAGCCCTTTGCATGTTGGTAGCCCGTCTCAGCAAATACAGCCAATGATGCTGGATCTCTTGCTGGCAGCTCATATACGTATTGCTTCCCTAGACGAAAGCTGGAAAAAAAAAATCCCAATATCCAGCACAATTTAGAAGACACAAGTTGTAAAGCCAAATTTTAATACAAAATTATAGTATTAGTACATAAGTATTGTATTGTACATTTGCAATCTAAATACATTCAGACAACACTTGTTCTTCCTCAGTATATACAAAACACATTTTTCATACAAAATACATTTGTAATTATACATGACATTAAAAAGCATCAGTGTCAAGAAAAATGTTTGTTTATATTGGATGTTAATTCTATTGATTTTATATGGGGAAAAAGCTAATTTATAATTTTTTTAAACATTTAAGTCAGTGCTTTCATTACAATGGTAGGCCTACTGATAAATAAATGAGGCAGCCACAAATAACACATTATAGAGTAATACAGTGTTACATCACGATACCATGTGATACTACTCCGTTGCTATCGGTGACACAAAATGTGTTCAACCGATGCCATTTTCTCCACTGACAAACCATTGATCCCAATTTCTAACGTAATTATTAAAAAGTTGTATATTAATTAATTTTTCTTTGTAAATGTTAATTGATGATTAAATGTGTGTTCGATAACTAATATAATGCGAGCTTTTTGTGTTTTTAGTACATTTTGATGGTAAATTATTAGGTTTCAAAATGCCTATTCCAGAAAGCATATTCTAAACCATCTAAGATTTCAAAGTCATTCAGGCGTAATAAACGGTAGCCAACGTCCAGAGGGCGCCACCTGGTGTTGTTACGACATGAATGTGGAACTCTATAATAATACAAAGTAGTGATATTTATGATAATTTTTCATTAAGATGCTAAATACGTTTCTATCATTGTTATATCAATTATAACACTTTGCAGCCAGAAAAAAAAAAGTGTGTTGCCCAAGCCCGTCTAACCTAATATCTAAAAAATCTAGGATAATTTCTTTTTTTTTGTTACAATGTTTTCCCCACAAGGTGGAGCCCGAAATAAATAGAAGCACTATTCATTATTTAATTTGATACTGAATTACTACCAGAGATTTCATAGGTAGTGTAACAATCTTTGTAGGTTGGGCAAACATCATTCCTAACAATCTTTGATTAGCCTAATAGCAAAACTATAATAACAATAACAACACAGTAATCACCAGCATCACATACTTACAGCATAATAACTGGTAAAGAGTTTCCAATATTAAATCTCTTTTTTAATAGTTCGTTCTTAGTTGGATCAACATACGCAAAATTTGCACGTCCCTTTAATCTGAAAATTAAAAATAAACTGCAATGAGGAATACAATTGATCGGCATCTGCATAATAATAATATAATTTAACAATGATAATAATATGCACTAAGTCAGACTTAAGGGGAATATCTTTTGTGTTTTTGTGTTTCCCCTTCACGTTATTTTTTCATGTTATTTTCCCTTAACGTCGTTTTTCTATTGTTCTCTAATTTCTCTATTGTCTAAGTTCCCCTTAAGGTAGGTTTTAGTAACATAAAAATAACAATAATAAAAAAAATAATAAAAATAATAATAATAGTACAGTGGACCCTCCAATTTGAGACCCTCTAATATGAGACCACTTTTTCAAAGAACCAAATAATAATCTTCAATCTATTAACACAAAGCTAACCTTCTAGGTGGAGACCGAACCCCCCGAGACAACCACAAATTTTCAGATCCCAAGGGTGGTCTTGAATTGGAGGGCAAATGGTGTGTTTACCTGGCAGCTGCACCTTCCCATGAAGGGGTCAGTTGAGAGCAGCCTGGGACATCTGGCTTACAACTGAAAATGTATAAATTAAAAGATATATTAATATTATAATAGTGATGATGAAGTGATAATAATTATTTATATACATAATGTATGATAATGCTGGTAATGATGGTGGTAATGAAGAAAGTGATGATGGTGATAATGTTGGTAAATATGGATTAAGGTAATAATGAAGATGAACAGTGTTAGTACATAGGAGCTGTACATAGGAGCTTAAGGGCTGTCTATAATCTGTGACAAGTAACTATGATTTGCCCATACATGGGTATGATATGACATCATCATGCCTATATATGGAAAAATCACACGTTTGTCACAGAAAACTTATATTGTGAACAGGCTTAGAGTGCATATCTGCAGCTCAAATAAGCTCAATAATGTACAGGTCTCCCTCTAATAAAAGAACCCTCCAATTAAAAACTACCTCCAATTAAAGACCACTTTTCTATGGTCCTAAATTAACAAATGCCTTATATCTTTACTTAATTAGAGACGAAAGCTGCTAAAGACCATAGAATGCCCACTCCAAACATGGTCTTTAATTGGAGGGAGCCCTGTATTCAATCCTTCAAAAACAATCGGAAACATCATGTTTATTCATTATGGTTACAGCTAACAACTTACAAGTTGACCATCCAGTTTCCAGTTGTGGCACCCGTTGAAGCTTGTGTCAAGTGTTCAAAGTCACCGTCATACAGATTTACAGTAATCTGCTCTCCATTAGAGTCCATCCATTCTGCAATCTCATAACCATCTAAACCACCTAGAAAATTGGTACAAAATAAAGAATAATAATGCTTAAGAGAGCAGCTTAGCTCAGTCGGCTAATTTGGTGGTAGCTACTGTGTGTGCGCTAAACTGTGGAGATCTGTAGGTCCCTGGTTCAATTCCCATCGCTGCCTCTCCTTGTATTTCAGCTGGAGGGCTGAAATACAAGTTATAATAATGCACTGTCTTTCGGATGAGACGTTTAAACCGTTGGTCCTCATGTGCATTGATGGCCCATGTGCACGTTAAAGAACGCAGTACACTCTTCGGAAAAGAGTAGGGGGATTGTCTCCCGGTGTACTGCCCAATCACCACCAGAAGGACCCCACTGGAAATAAGTCTTCTTCTAGACTTTCGTGGGCTATCCTTGGTGTTTACACCGAAAAAACCCAATCCAATCCTAAGAGTTTCTGCATCTCAATACTCTCTTCATGTGCAATCAAACAGGTTGGTGGTGATTTGTGCCTGCTTAATCACTTTCCAATCACACCTACACTTTCTTTTATTTTTTTTATAAATGTCTACAAAATCCTTTAGAAATACAAACATCCTTGTATGAAATGTATTTCCACGTGTGCCTACGTTTAGTTGGATGGCAAAGTTTATCTTACCAAAGTACATCACAGGCAATCCCTCACTTCGAAAATATATTAGTGTGGGAAGTCTTGGTATCCCATACTGCCTTGAGAGGGTGGCATCATCAACACGGTACACACCAATTCCCTCTCCAATCAGGATGCGAGCAACTTTCTCATATTCTTTTTGAAATTCTTTACATTTCTTGCAACTTGGACTTCCTAGTTGAAAAACAAAATAATGAATGAAGAGCTGCAATGACATTTAATTGAAATTAATAGTAAAAAATGATTAATGTACATACAGGTACCATACTGTAAAGTTTTCAAACTGCGCAGATGATATACCTCAGTCAAAAACTAGCTAAAATTTGCTTGGAAAATCGCTATGAAAGTAGGTGTGCAGAATCGAAATTACTGACATATATTTCTATATATTCAGATTAGGTCAAAACCTAATTTTCGGAAAAAATTGTGCAGAAATCGGTCCTTTTTTTCCAAAATGCGCAGACAAATTTCTAGGCCCCAATTTTTTGCGCAGAGGATATATTTCCCACGCAGTAGACTGGGGTACATATTTGCTACTGTACCTCCTAATCCTATTTAAATGCAATTGACTTTCAAAATTTAAATATTCCTTTATTAATTGTACTCACTATCAAGTTTTCCTAGAGCATATGGCATAGAATAGGCATAAATTATTTGTACATAGTCCTCCTAGGCTCAGGAATTCTTACCAAATTGGACAATCATATGTTTCTCAGCCATTACAAGTTGCTCAAATTGAATTCGAGATAATAAAACAATATCGATGTCATTCCCACCAGTAGCTGGTTTAGTGTTTTCTGTTACGATTTCAGTTTTTGTTGGCGTCTGAATTGAGTCTTTGCTTTTGGCTCCAATACAACCTATTATTTGACATAAAACCAAAACCAACGAGGCAAAGGAATATGTATTCACCGTATTAATTAGCACCATATTGAGATCTGAATTAAACTTTAAATGTTTTTCAAAATCGCAACACTCAGCAGACTTAGGCTAGCCCTAGTCTCGCTTCAATAAAAAATGGATTAAACGACGCCGACGTGCAACCCTCTGCGCACGGTAAAGTGAACAGAAAACACTAGGCCTCTAGAGGCCTAGGCCCTACACTCGATCTTGGCCTAGCAAGTCTATGCCAAAAATGTTCAGAACAATTGAATGTGTGTCAGGAAATTATAACAAGCTTCGCCGATGAATACAAAACAAATTGGGCTAATTGAATTCTGAATATCAAAATGCTGAATAAACAGGATGATGTTTACGCAGGCCTATGTTTTCAATTTTTCATCGCTGCAGAACACACATGGTGGGATCTCTAAGTTCACAAATGTAGCGCCAACTATATGAACACTCTGGTTCCCGCTCGCGATTTTTTTCACGTACGAAACATTTGCATGAAACTTCACTCGGGCCATCTCGGATTGACTCGACTGAGTTCGATACGAGGAACAAGAGCAAACACTTCGCAATGTCGTGACGCTCGAGTTTTACTATTATTGCTCTTTCTATTTTTACCCAGGTTTACCTACGGTAGGCCTATGATGATGAACCATGATGATATCTTAACGGATTTAATTAGACAGCGACGTTCTCTCAGAAGTTGTGTAGACGTTTATCTGTTGATGACCTTTTGACCTCCTGAATTCTGCAATACCGTATGAGATTTTCGGGTCGATTCAGTCGAGACGGCCCGAGTGGAGTTTCATG